ATTGTGACAAGGGAAGTCTTGGTGATTTTCGAAAGGTTTTCCTTTGTTCTTTTTATCACTGCTTGTAAAATATCGGTAATTCATAGATGGATTAAATGTCTTCTGTTCTTTCATTGGAATGTAGAATTTATTTATCTTCTTTTTTTTTTTTTATTGAGAAAATGTAAAAGTTATGTTAAATTGTAGTGGAATTTAATAAATAAATTTCGAACGGTTAAATTAAAGAGAGGAAAGAATTTTAAATTAATCACTCTTCCAGAAGTAGAAGTGAAATTTGGAAAGTTATGGAAAATTATTATAAATTTTAATAAACGAGTTTGAATAAATGATTCCTTTTGTTAGAGTTCTTTCAGAATAAATTTTATATATATTTTCTTAGAATCATGAGTGTTTTATTCTATATTTTATATAGCTAATGATCAATAGGATTTTTTTTATACTTTTTTCATTTTCTCAAATGTAAAAGTTTTGAAGGAATAAAGAAAAAGATTATTTCAATAAATTCTAAAAAAAAAATGATTGAAAAAGATCAAAAAAAGAAAAATAAAATTGTTGGTTATTTCAAGAAGCTTCTTATTGCTTATTTCAGGTATAGCAGACGAAGCTATCAGAAAGATTTTTCGCATAATCTCCACGGAAAATTCGAACGAAAAGGATGACGAATTGCTGGTGAAACTTGTCAAAGAGGAAATCGTAAGAACGGCACAAAGCATCAAAACGCCATCAGGTTCGATCGAGGCTGCAACCAGAAGAGCACAAAGATTGGTCACCGAATTGACAGCTGCATACATTACTGCTATTTACAAATCAAAATCAGTGGAAGAAGCCAAAGTGAATTTTTCTCGATTTCAGAATACGGTTCAGAAGATTGTAGATTTTATCAAAAATGGCCAATTTGCACTTTGATCTTCTGAAAAATATAAAAAATTTCAAAAGCCTATTATGAACTTTAAGAAAAATTTTCCTTATTATAAACAAGTTATAAAATAAAGTTGACTAAAAGTTATTAAATTAAAAATTAATCTTAAAAATATCCTTTAAAATATATTTAACAGACTTAAATTTATCATATATTCTTCATGCCATAGCAAAAATTGGTGTTTATTTATAACAGGCATTTATAACAAATAGACTTAACGAGATTGTTATTATTAAAAAATAATACTTAATGAAATCTTATTACTATACCATGTATAGTATCATATCATAGAAATAAATTTTTACATGAAATCTATTTTATTTTAAACGTGCTATATTGACACGTTTACAAAAAAAAGAATAAAATTGAATATTTGCAAAATTATTCAGAAAAAAGTCAAAAATTGAGACAATTATAACCCATCCATGATTCCACAACGAAGCCACGGAAAGTCTCTCGGCAGTCGATCGTCGAGGTCGTGGCTCGAGGAATCTATCGAGTACATCGAACACGTGCCAGGAACTTTTACCCTGTCAGAGATCGTACGATATTTTTTTTTTTTTTTTTTTTTTTTCCTTT